AGGCTGCATCGTGGCGCTCGTGCAGCAGCAGCACGCGCAGAAGCTCATGGACACGCTGGATGCTGGTTATCCTGTGGCCAAATTTGGTTCCACGCTGCCGAAGCCCGCGAGCTTCCTCACGCGTATCGGCGATGGCGCTCACGTGGTGCAGGCCGGCGTGCCTACCCCCGCTGCATAGATCGGATCAGGAAATGGTCGATGATGAGATTGAGTGCTGCAAGGTCTAAGTTGAAGTGTAAGCAGCAATGTGAATATGTTGAAATCGTGATACTCTGAAGTTTTGCATTAGACCTTTGAAAAGTAACACTCGTGTTTCAATTTCTTCGTTTCTGTAAAAACAAAAAAAAATGGTTGTGATAATTTGTGTAGCATCTGTGTGAAAACAGTTGTTTTTGGCAGAAACAATCCCAAAGTGGAAAATGGCTCCGCCACCTTCGGATACCGCGCGGCATGTAGCTGTCCACGTGCCTCCAAGTCGCAAAGCCATCTACATTGACCAGGTCCGCCCTTCACTTGTTGCAACAGCCACTAAGTATATGCCTAATGAATTTCCTGGGGTTTACAGTTAAGGCGGAAATTCCAATCCAATGACGCTGCCTGGCAAACGACAATTGCCACAATTCAGAGCTTCGATCGCAGTCGGAAGGTGATGTTGCCAGCTTTGATAAACTCTCAAAAATAGGCGAAATGACAAAAAGCAATTACTGTCTAGCTGGCAGAAGAACAGACGTTGTGGGAAAGTTTCATGCTGATACTGGCAGTTGTAGGAATCGTGTGTGCCAGTGTGGAGGGAGAAATGCTCGGAGTCGAGCTGATGCAGTTGGTGGAAGAGGGACAAGGCTTTTCATCGTCGCTCTCCTACTCTACTGTGTTCATCGCGCTAAAGGGCGTTCTCTCGGGCACGTCGGGACTGCTCCTCTATGCTCTAGTAATGCGCTATCGTACGTGTGATAGGCTGGCAAAGTGAAGTTTTTGAAGAATTGGTATTATTATCGCACATGCTCTTTTGCTGACAGGAATCGTGTGCAAGAGTAAGATTTTGGCGAAACAACTGCCGCCCGACGCTACATTTTTCAGTGCGTGTTCAGGTCTACGGAGGTTGGTGGTGTACTTGAGATTTGTGTATTTCTCAACAGAAGGATAAGTTGCTAACCTTTGACGCACTGACTGGTAGTCAATTTCTACTTGAAGCGGTAGTGTGCACTGTTCACATGCCACTTCTCAGTGCTGATCGCAAGATATGGCGCTGGGGAGAGTATGATGTGCTGTGTCTCGATCAACTGGGTAAGTAACGGTGAAATCATACCGGCCACACTCATTTAACGCTTATCTATCTGGCTTACTTGTCGAGCGCAGACGTGTTGGTGTTCACCCGGATTTACTTGCTCGGTCGGGTACTGAGAAACCAATTGGGTCTGAATTCTGCATCACATGAAGCGCGACTTATTGGTAAGCACCTAGGGAACAAATCTTTAGATTCTCATGTCTATTCATATTATTTTAATTATTTTCGTTCGTGCAGGCTCTATTCACCAAGTGGATTTATCGTCTATCTGGCTCAACGTGAAGTTTTCCTTCCAGAAATTCCCATTCGAGTCGAGTCTGATCCTACTGACAATCGACTGGCTGCTCACATCAGTTGCACTCAACTTCTTCGAGCGGTGCGTGAAGTATAATAATTTCATTGAAGAGGACTTTATTGATCTCATTCCCGTTGTTTTGGGTTAACTAGGCCAAGTAACCCGACTGAGACGAACGCCAGTGACGCCTTCTGGCTGACGATTGTCACCATCACTGGAGTTGGCTACGGCGACACTTTCCCGTGGACTCTAGGTGGCAAGATCGTCATCGCAATCGGAGGAATCATCGGCGGTATGGTCATCGCGTGCTTGCTGCGTGTCATTCTGATCGATACACTGCAACTCTCTCCTCAAGAACAAACGGTACTCGACGTCGCGCGCTTCTATCGCTATATTCGCCAACGCAAAGAGAGCGCTGCAGTTCTCATTCAAAGCGGTTGGAAGTAC